GGGGGGGGGGGGGGGTCGGGAAGGAAGGGCCGATGACGAAGACTTGGCATTCTTTCGTGGTACCCTCCCTGTCTGTCGTGTGTTTTTCATTTTTTCGGTGCCGATGGAGAGACGGTTGGTCCTTCATGATGCTTGGGTGCATTGTCATCGTTGTTTCAGGTCAACATGAAGATGTAACGTACTTGCCAAAATAGAAAAACCTTGACTTTGTGGATATTATATGCCGCGCGAACCTGGCGTGTCCTTGCGAACAGTACCCCTTTCTCACTTACATACCTGGACAGGGCCTCGGATGCCTTGCGACATTCCTGTTCTTGCTCCATCCCCAGCAGGCTCACACCCTTCGCAAACAAGTATGAAAGAGGGGGGCCAAAATGAAAAGGAGAGGGTTGAGTCGTAGAGTAAACGTGCCTGATGTAGAAATAACAGGCCCGGCGGGTCAGCAAACCACACAGTAGCGTCGGGGCCATCGAAGGAACCCTCCCCCCCCCCCCCCCCCCCCCCCCCCCCCCCCCCCCCCCCCCCCCCCNCCCCCCCCCCCCCCCCCCCCCCTGTAAAATAGTTGACCTCTGCTTCACCAAAGCCGTAGCAGCAGTACCCCGAAGACCACGCAAGAACCCCAAGCCGTCCACCCATTGCCGGGGTGGCCCTTCTCACCTGCTCCTCCTCGGAGGGAAAGTGCTCCGCCATAAACGCCCCCGCAGATGTGTAAACCTTGCCGCTTGCCGCCGTTCCCTCGCCGCCACCACCTCCGCCGCCCCCTCGCTTACCACTCTTCTTTTTCCCACCGCCGGCACCCTTCTTCTTCCGCCCCTTGCGTGGGCTCTTGCTTCTGCTCTTGCTGCTGGCCCGTTTCCTCCTCGACCTTGAGGAGGCGCCGCCCTTTTTCTTTTGGGGCGATGCCGGCCTGCCCCTTTGTTGTTGCGGTCGTCGTGGGACGATCGTGTTCTTGAGGACTACGGCGGTGTAGTGGTCTTCCATCTACGTCGTCGGTGCGGTGGGGTGTTCCCGCAAAGAGAGGCGGCAACAAGGGGGGGCGTGGTGGTGGGTGTGGCCCCGTTCAGATCTTGTGATGAGAACGGCTACGCCAAGGGGGGGGGAGGAGCGACGAGGCGAAGCCTGTAGTGTACAGGGGAGGGGCAGGGGGGATTTAGTACGGAACGATGGGTCAGAAATAGGGTCAGGAACACAAGGAATTACACAGTCACCAGATAGACGGGGAATCGGAGGCGGCGAAAGCTGGAAAATGGGCAAGGGTCACATGGTGTGGTGCAACGCTAAAGTTTTTCCGGGAGGTGCGCTGGCGTATTTCGGCTTGATGCATCCTTCTAAAATAACCACGAGAATCATTTTCGTCCACTTCCCTTTCGCGAAGGTGACAACACCGTCGCTCATACGAGCACAATACTGGCATATACGACGACATGCATACCCGAGCCAGCGTAGACTCCGACACGCCTCCTCTCACAATCAGGTATTACTGGCGAACGCAATGCACACATACCCGAACCAGCGTAGACTCCGACATGCCGCCTCGCCGGCTCTCCATCTCGAGCTGCAGGTGGACCAGCTCGGGGTCGTCCATCCCCAGCGTCCGTGCCGAGGAGACGGCGGAGACCGCAGACCTTGCGCCGGGCCGCGCCTTGATCCAGCCCCGAAACGCTGCGGAGGACGGCCGGCTGTGATTGTTCATAGGCGGTGTGATTTCGTTCGGTTTAAAGCGCCCCCCGCCCTCCTCGGTGTCGCCGTCAGCGACGTTGTCGTCGTAGACGGCGGCGGGGGCGGCGGCGGCGGCGGCGGCGCCGGGGGCTCCGTCTGTTGCACTTGACAGAGGGCGGGTTCCGCCGTCGACGTTCCTATCCCAGGAGGGCACGGCGGTTTTGACCTATTGAACGCGGTCCGCGGGGGGGGCGAAGATGAGCGCGGTCATCGAGCCGGGGCGAAGGTGAAGTGAAGAGGAGGAGGCTTGTTGAGGGCTGTGTGCGACCTCGGTCACAACAAGAAGAATCAGACATCGTCTTGTCGCTGAAAATGTATGTATTACGTGATTGAGTGGGCTTGTCCGATCTATTCCTGTCCTTGTCGGACGGACAGTACTCTTGACTACAACTCCTCAAAAAACCATGAACGAAATCGAAGGCCCGATCTACATCGACGTGAGCGTTCTTTCGAATACCCGAATAACGAACACGGTTATTCCAAGGCCAAAGGGTATTGCAACGGCAGCGGCTACAGGGAGAGGACCCTCTCTCCTCACATCACGGACAGAAGAACGCCTTCGTTGGTTCTTGCTTCCCGCATCTACCCCTGCTCCTCCTCCGCTGCCGCCTCCTCCCTGTTCCGGCTCCGCCGGTGGTCGTGACCCTCCAGATGACATCTGGAGCCTCATCCGTCGGGTATGCAGGGGTGCCATGGGGTCGTTAACGGCCACGTCGCCTCGCTGGCGCTCCTGCGGGAGGCTGCTGCCGTCCGCAGGGGCCGACGTGGGCCGGCTTCTGATGACGCGGGGTGGTTGTTTTTGTCCGCTGACGAAAGTCTTGAGAGGAAACAGGAGGCGTTGCTGCTCCCTGCTATCCTCTCCCGCACGCGTCCCGGCCGCTCTTGCCGAGGAGGTCACGTGCCGACGAGCTGGTCGCGACCTGGAGAACATCTGCTGCAGCTGCTGCTGCTGCTGCTGCTGCTGCTGCTGCTGCTGTTGAGGTGGTGCGCGGGGCGGGCGCTGAGTCGCCGTCGACAGTGGAGCGTCGGGTGCGCCCGTTCTCCTCGCCCCTGACCACCGCTGCCGTTCGGCATCAAGATTGCCCCCGTCGCCGGCGGTGACGTCGCCGTCGTCGGCAGCGGAGACGGGTCTCTCCCGCCCCACCGTAGAGAAACGGCTCTCCATGATCGATATCCTAGCTTCGAGCTCGCCGTCGTCCTCCTCGAGATCTTCATAGATGTCGTCGAAGACGTCGTCCCCTCCCCATCCCTCGACGGAAGAACGATCTTGGTTGTTCACCGGCGACTGGGACCGTGTCGTCGAGGCGCTCCTCATCGCCCGTCTTCTCCTGGCACTGCTCCCGCTGCCGCCTCGCCTCCTTGCGGTGGAGGTGGCGTCCACGCCGCCGTCATTTCCCCTCGCGGCCGAGGCACTCACGCCTCTCTTTGGACGCGAGTTGTTGTCATCGGGCTCCGCTGCGTCTGCCCTCTGCAGCCGCGGGATAGCCGACCGGGGCCTCACACTAGGAGTGAGGTCCGCTCGCCCCGCCCCCTCCTCTATGGTTCTGTTCTGACCAGCCTCGTACAACCCGCTGTCTTGTCCGAAAGGCTGCGAACGAGGAGGGAGCGCCGAGGACGCACGTTGTTGCTGATGGTGATCGTGGTCGTTCGACTGTTGAGGCACACGCCCTGCAGAAAACGGTCGAAGAATGGTAGCCGCTGACGACGGGCGAGAAGTCGGGTGGCTGGCGCTCGGGTGGTTGGGATGGTAGCCGATGCGGGACGATGAGGCGTAGCGCGAGCATTCGTGCCTCCACAGTACCATAGACTCGCGGCGAGAGCTGTATGAGAAGAGTTGGGGTGACGGGTTCGCATGTGAAAGGAGGTACGGGGTACCGGTTGTGTGTGACGGCGGATTTCCGGCGTCAATGTGTGGTTGTCGTCGTTGCAACGTACTTTCTCCGTGTACTCTCACCTTGGTGTATGCATTTGCTTTACTGTAATTAAGTATATTGTGTTCGTCTGCCAGCATAGCTTATGAATGGCAGGGTAAGTTTGGCTCTACTCCAAGCAGTTGGTTGAACCTGATAATATTGTGATATTTTTTGTTACATAGGCCCTTCTCATCCTACAGCAGCGAAAAAGAAGTACAAGTTGGCCATCAAACAAACACTACTTAACGAATAATGTAATGAATCATTGCCACCTGTAAACTATCCTTACCAGACTCTATCTCTGGAAGGTATGGATGTGTTGTGTACAGAAACAAACGGCACGTAGTGCGGTTCATGATCGGTTGATGCACACGCAGCCCGTTTACCCCACCATCATCCACAAGCACCACCACTGCCTCGAACGCTCACGTCTGCAGCGCCCATTGGTCTAATGCATCACGTACTCCTTTCTTGATGCCTTCCACAGCGACAGCCACGGCTGCTGCTGACGTGACATGTGGATTTTGTTCGAGAATCCCAGCAGCAGCGGCGCTTTTCTTTTCCACGGGAGGGACGAGCTGACGCCGCTTGCTTCGGCAGTCTCGAAAAGGGTTAAAGAGATTCTCAGGCAGTAGCTTCGAACTCAGCCGGCGCCCTGCGTCTGTACTGCTCTCCCGATCAACCGTAACAGAGACGGCTCCCGCCATGTTGGTGAAGACAGTAACAGACGGAGCAGGATCAGCATTGCTCTTGTCCCATTCTACGGACGGGGCCATCAGGTCGGCGGCATGTCGAGGAGTCTTTCGAAGCTTCTCTCGGCTGTGGCGCGTCGTCTTCATTGCCGCAACTCGTGTGACTGGGTGATGCACAATCGTGAATTAAACCACGTGTAGATATATCTCTCTCTGATCGCTCATGCTTGCCCGTACACGTTCTCTTTCTCTCCAGGATTTGAAATAGATCCGAAAGATCGGATCCAACGGGTGTTGAGCTGGATCTCCGGAGATCGACGACCGTTTCATTTCGAAGCGCGAGGAGACACGCTGGCATCGATTGGTGTTTGCCCCCAAAACGCCACGCGCAAATATGCACGTACATGTCCGCGCAGGAGCACGGGGCGCGTGCGTGAAGCACAGCACCGGAAGGGTAGCGTTGCATCAGGAGAGCTGCTGTCGTACCACGCCCCCATGGCGCAGATGCAGATACCTCCCGGAACGAGAAATCGGCATCAAGCACACGATGTACCGACGACGACGTACGCGCAGCTTGCATGGCCGCCCAAGGGCACGTCACCCGAAGACGGTGGCCCTAAGTTGGATGACCGGCAATATGGTCGAAATCATTGCCCGCCGCGGTCGATGCCCTCTGCCGTGGCGATGGACGACGACCCGGCACCGCGCTCACCGGCACGGCCAGGACCAGAAGAATCCCTGCCTACAGCCGCCAACCCGAGCGACGTGCTCCTGGTAGACTTGGGAAGCCGGTTGCTATTGCAAGAAGACCTAGAGAAGGCGCTCCGCTTATGGACGCGACCGTCTATCCTTATTGCGGGGAGGAACTCACTGGATCGACTGCCCGCAAACGTGCCTGGAACAATACTTTACCTAGATCTCTCATGGAACAGGTGAGGCACATTGAGGCTACAGTATGTGTACTGCATGGGATTACAGCAACTCATTTTTCGTAGATTGGATGAGCTTACCTACAGTGCACTATTCTCCGACTCGGGAGTCTCCCTAGAGTACACAATTGGCGCACCCACTTGAGGTGTATCGTGGTCTTTGGCCCAGCTAAATCAACAACGTTCAGAATTGCCGTGCAGTAACTGGCACTCCAGTGGAGAATATGATACACGCCGACGCTGGATACGTTGACAGTCGTGGCGTTGTCTTGCCGGTCTACAGTGGACATGCAAGAAAAAATGGTGGCACACATGTACTTTGTCCACATAATTCGCACCCAAACCATGTGTTGTACTGTAGACGCGTGCGATCACGATACATTCTTCTTGGTGCCACGCAACACTTTCCGTGCCCCCCTCTCTGCTCCCATCCGAACCAAAGACTTGCATCGTTGGAGGGATTTGCGGCGCTACCCAACTTGCGCGAGCTGGACGTTAGCCACAACAGCGTGCAGGACATGCTTGGGTTGGGTTCAAACGTGAACCTACGCGTTCTCCGCATATCTTACAACCGCATACGACGAATCGAGGGGATTCATCAGCTGAAACGTTTGGAAGAGGTGAAATCATGACTGAAAGTTTGTCATCACGTGGACGGGGCTGTAGGGAGAATACGACCACATAGGGGGTTTCGAATTGCCCCTGTATCCCCTTTGAAATGATTGGCACAGTTTCCCGAAACCCGTGGTTTCTAGTACAGGTTTCGGACTGCGCGTACGAACTGTACGAACTGTAAATACAACCACTAGCGTATAGAATGAGGAACACAGTCACTATCAACCAACGCCCGTTTGGTCCACGTGCGTTTGTTCATGCACGTGTTGACGACGGCAGGTGGATTTCTCTCACAACTCCCTCAAAACGAAGGAGGACGTGCGTGCGCTCTCGCTCAATGCCGCGCTCCGCCGCCTCCGCATCGAAGGCAACCCTTACTGCTCCACGGGGGTACAGCACGGGACCTACCAGATAGCCTTGCAGCACCTGTTGCCGGGAATGAGGCTCCTGGACGGCAAACCTCCCCAGGTGCTGTCGCTGTCCCTCTCCTCTACCATGCCGTTACCCCCTCCCCCTCGGCCGCCTGCGCCTGGCAAGCCGGCGGATCACCACCGCCACAACAGCCGCAGGATGCCCCATCGTACCAGCCGAGGGCCCCCCTCCTCCTGTTCCCCCGACCGCCGTGGCAGCGGGTCGATCAGGGAGGGCTTCATGGCTGCTTCCTCGCTCGACTTCGTGGGCGACCTCAGCGTAGAAAGGCGGTGGCGCGATTCCGCGGTCGCAGGCAAAAGCCTGTACCCACAATTCGCGCCTGACTCTCACCAGCGTGCTGCCGCCAGCGGGGGCGTCCGCGGCGGTGCCAGGGCTCGTGGCAGCGGCGACGGCGATGGTGGCCGTGGTCGGGAACCGTGCATCAAAGTTACGACCGGGGGAGGGGGTCCAACGGTGGCCCCCGGGTCATACGCGGAGATTTTTGTCGCGGCAATGCGCAAGCAAGGCTCAACATCGAGGGCGGTTGTTGATGACCCCGCCGCCTTTACAACTGCTGGGGTTTCCAACAGCAGCACCCTTGCCCCTACGCAAAAGGGAGTGGTGGGGACGGTGGCGACGGAGCGGCAGCAGCAGCAGCAGCCGGGGCACCGCGCCGCCGCTCAGGCCTCGCACGGCGAGACGTCGGTGGCGGCGGCGTATCGCCCCGGCAAGCGCCGCATCCCCGCCGGCGGTGCCGAAGTCGTCCCCAGCGGCGGCGCCTCCGCGCCACCGTCCGCGGCGACCGCCTCGCTTCTTTCCTACCGCGGGCTGTCGCGTGCGGAGAGGGGGGCAGCACGTCGCGAGGCCTGGAGCCAGGCGCGGCGGGAAGGTGCTGTGGGGGACGGCAAGATGCAGGGGCAAAGAGCAAGCCGTTGGCAAAGGAATATCGCCCCGGGTGTTGGTGGCGGTGGTGTTGCAAGGAATAAGCGGGCTGTAGGCGTTAGGTCGCTTGAGCCTACGACAAGGTCGGCCCGCCGGCGCACATCGGTGAGTGGGAGCCAGATGTGCAGGGTACGTGAGATTTTTCGAGGAGTCAGGGTGGTTTATGGGTCCATTGAACGGTCGTTCAAAAACGTTCACCGTAACTGGATGCCGGACAAGATATCACCGGGACACAGGAGTTACCCCTGTCGTTGAATCCGCACAAGCGAAAGCCCCAAAGGCTCCAGAACAAAATACGGGTCTTGGGTATCAGTTTCATGCGCGAGAGCGGGGTCCAATTGCTACATGGTAGTACCCTTGCCAAGAACAAACGATAAGCCCACCACACCAAATTGTGGGGATGAGCGTGATCAAGTCCCACAAGCAGAAATGCGCCAGCAAACCCGACGACAATAACGAGCATGTTTCACTCATCCTACCACTCGATGAAATATTCTTTAGCCGTGGGCTGGATGGAACGATTGTCAGGGCAACCGATTCTCGTTGAAGAAGGGCCCTATGCGTATCTCCACTTTGCGATCAATTTGACCCCGTGCACTAACAACCCCGACCTCCAGGTGGCCGCTGCATCAAGCCGCCACCCTCGGCAAGCCAGCGGCACCGGTGGCGACCAGGCGTTCGACACGGACGGTAGCGCGGAAGGCGTCGGCGGTGGCACCTCCTCCTCCTCAAAGCTCGGCAGGGGGGGGGCGGTGGGCCCACGAATCAGCGTCCGCAGCAACAGCGGCAGCAACGCCAGGGGCGGGCGGCGGTCAGGGGGAGACTTGTGGGCGAAGCCCGGTGCGACGCGAAAGCCGGTCAGCATTAGCAATTCCCGCAGCAGGCAAACCCCGTCAACGGCTAGCGGGGGGGAAGCGGTAACGACGAGAGGGCGAGGCGGGACCCGGTCTGGCGATGGCGAGAAAACCGCGCGGTCGGCCCTGTCGAAAGATAGCCGGGCCGGGGGCAGCGGCGGCGGGAGGCCCAACGGTAACGACCGATCGCCTTCCAGCTACCGGTTCAGGACCACGCTCGGGCGGAGGGGTAGCCAGCAGCCCCCCCGTCCCCCGGCCCCGGTCGCGTCGCCGTGGACGCCGCGCGAGGATGCTAGGCCGTGGGGATGGGACGGTGGCAAGGAGGGCGACCGGGGGCACGGCGAAGACGACGAAGATGATGAAATACGCGACGTCGACGCGATCGCGGACGACGATCATGTTCTTGGGTACGGTGACGGCAGCAGCGGCGGAAAGGGAACGTTCGTGTCACCGCTGTCTACCGCGGGGATCCTCCACCGGATATCGTCGAGCAGGCGGTCTTCTGCTGTGGCGGCGGGTCTGTCAGCACCGCCCTCGGCTGCCGCTGCGTCTTCCGGCGCCGTGTTGAGGGGGGATTGCCCGCAGCACCAGGCAGGGGCGCCGCGGAATCAGTGGCAAGATTCAGACCCGGGTGTTCGCGAAAGCGGTGGCGGAGGAGCGTCATCGGCAGCGGCCACCGAGGGTGATCGCGACAGCGGTGGGCCGTACGACCAAAGAAGGAACCTCGTCGCCTCCCATCACTCCTCCGAACGAGACCTCTTGCAACCGCCATCGTACGACATGCTGGAGCAGTTTTCCGGGGGGGGGCGTCGAAGCGGAAGCGGCCACGACTTTTCTCCTTCCGCCGGCGCGGGTGGCGATGGGAGGGGGGATGGCCGAATGGGCGGGATGTCCCGCGAAGAAGCCCATGACCACCGCCACTACCACCACCGACGACATCCGTACCAGCACCAACTGCATCAGCACCACCATTATCACCACCGGCGAGGTGTCGGCCCAACGAAAACGAGCACGCACAATCGTCCACGCGGGAAGGCCACGACGAGGCACTCGAGCTCCCTGCGGCGGCGCCGACGGCTAGAGGTAGAAGAAGACGATGACGGCAACGACGAAGGAGAAGACGGCACAAGAGAGTACCCAGGTAGTGTCCTCGAGGGAGAGGCCGAGCCTGGGTTCGAAGCCTGGCCTGACAGTCGTGTCGTAGCCTTTGACGACGACAGACACGACGGCGATGAAGAAGAGCATGATCACGATCGGGGGCAGGAGCGGCTACAGGAGGAGCGAAGGCGGCACCTCGAGAGGCACCTCCCGTATCAGCAGCAAGGTATTTGCGTGACGGACACCGGCGCTGCTGCTGCTGATGACGACGGCGGCGGTCCGTACGCCTACCGCAGTGACGGTGACCACGAACAGCGTTCCTGCGAGGGAAACAGACCTTCTCCAATCGGTCGTAACGGCGGTAAAGAAACGGCGGAGCTGGAGGAGGATGAGGCAAAGGAGGAGGAGGGGCAGGACCGGGAGGATGAAGAGGGGCTAGAGGGCGGAGGAGGTTCGGGAGCAACGGCCACAGGGAAGGGCCAGCGGCAGCAGCGGCAGCGGCGGCACCAACAGCAGCAGCGGCGACAGGACGTGAGCAACAATCAACCCGAGGCAGCCGGAGACAGCACCGAAGAAGAGGAGGTATTCGAAGACGAGGTCATGGACATGCTGTCGTTCTTGGTCGCGGGGCCCCATGGCGGGGGCGAAACGTCCAATAAAACCTCGCAGCCAGAGGAGGAGGAGGACGAGGAGGACAACGAGGAGGAGGGCGAGGAGGACGAGCAGCAGCGGCGGCCACAGCAGCCGCTGCCGCAGCCATGGCGGCAGTCGAGTCCCGTGGTGTACGGATAGCGAGGTCATTGTCGCGCAGGCTATTCGTTTAAAGCCTTATTCTCTTGCTTGGCACCGGCGTGCCTCCCTGTCACGGGCGCAATCCTCACGGGGCCGACCACAGCCTCACCTCCTCTTGGTTGCCTGCACCGCCGCCGCTGTACCTGTCTTTCGCTGGACCAGCCGCACGTTTACCGTGCTCGCTGTTTCGAAAAACAACGGATCGTCTACCGTTGCGTCACCTCTTTGTTGGGATTTGTTTTTCATTCCTTTGTAGGGTTGTTCGACTGGACGCGATTGTTTACTCATTCGCGCAACACGGCCAGGTAGCCAGGCAGGCACGGTGGGGCGGATCCAAGCGGCTGGGCACTTGCTTCTTCGTGCACAATATTCGTAAGAAAGGTCAACACCGCGCCTCGCCGTTGTTGTTGTAGTTCGAGCGTGGAGGAAGGGCCCGCAGGGTTGCTGACCCCACGACGCCTAGAGTAGTCGCACTAGCGTAGATCTGAGGCGGGTTGTACTCGTCGAACGAACGTACCGCTGGTAAAAAAAAAAAAAACAGAAATGAAGCAACCAACTCTCATTCTTGGTTTCGAGGAAGCTGAAGTGGACACGAAGAAGCAACGACACAGCACCTTCTAAACTTTCTGAACGGGGTTGCTCAAACTGTACTCCAAGACACGACACGGAGCAACCCCAAAACGGAATACTACATAAACGGGAACGATGGTGGCCAGAGAGCAGACTCCAGGCCACGCGAAACCCTTCCTCCCTGACAAATCCAAATAAAAAAAAAACGGCACGTCGGAGCCAAAAAAAGGTTGGTACGGTAGTACTACTGTAGGCTGCATACCACTACTATATAACCCTGGCTCCCCCAAGGAACAAGAAGAAAACAAGCCAGCTGGGGGTCACCTGCCCGTGTGTTGGGTGAACTTAGCTGTAACCACAACACGAAAACACACATACACACACACACACACATTCATCTCGGGTGAGAAGCAATGGCACCACTAGCTGAATACACGAGAATGTGGCGAATGTATGTCGAACAACAAAAACAACCAAGATGACAAGCATCGATACCAACAACGAAACAACCCACGTCCTCCCTTGACAACTGGCGGCGTCTTCCCGGTCGTGTCCACGCTTTCTCCGGTCGAACCAACATATCACATCGGCTATACACGTACAAACCCCCACGCCCCCATCCACCCCGTCTTCTGATGATGTGGACAAAAACTACAACATTACTGTACGTATACCCACGTAACGCGAGGAACAACGGCACGTGCGCCAATTGTTACACCAACGAGGTCTCCAACCTCACACCGCCCCTGCCTCCAGCCTCTGTCGGCGCTCACCTGACCACCGTCGGCCCACGGCTGACACTCTTTTTCCCCAACCGGCCGAGCGTCTAGGCAGCAGCACATTAGCGCCTGGGCAGAAGCACATTAGCGTCTAGGCAGCAGCACATTAGCGTCTAGGAAGCAGCCCAGCAAGGACAGGAGCAGGCGATGGACTCTAAAATGGCTAGCTGATCACGCAGGCGGCCGATGACGCTCTCGGTGCTGTCGGTCGCGCTTCGTCCTGTTCTTCTTCCCGCTCCTCCTCCTCCTCCTCCTCCTCCTCCTCCTCCTCCTCCTCCTCCTCCTCGTCCTCATCATCATCATCCGTCTTCCGTCTATTTTCTTGCTTTCGTGGGTCCCTTCCAGACAGCGAGGTGAAGGAATGTTTTACCTCCGGAGCACCCCTGTTGCAGGCGGCGCCGTCGGCGGCATCCCCGCCTCTATCACCGCTGCTGTTTCGGCTCTTCTTGCGCGTCTTGTTTCTTCTCTTCACCCCCGCGAGCGACGCCACCGTAGCGCCTCCGAGCTCGCTCGACAGCCGCCGAGCCTTCACCTTCATCCCGTCCACCTTGCCCTTGATCTTCTTCGACTGGGTACATGATCAGCACGGCGGCAAGCGCTTCCGCGGGTTAATACAAGTTGTTTGTTCTAGCAACAACAGTCGACGAAGCATGCCACATGTGTGTGAAATACTTTGCGCGCTGATGTACGTCTCTCGCGACCATTACCCGTGCGAAACGTTCTGCAGTGAAAGCCGCAGAAGCAGTCGTAGAAGCAACGGTAGCAGCGGTAGTTGTACCAGTAGCAGCAGCGGCGGTCGAAGTTTTCGAACAAAGACCCCAACGGAACTCGTCCCAAAACCGACTGCACGCGGGGACACGCTGCTGCCTGTTCGTATCGCGAAGTAAGAAAGGCCTCGGCCACCGAGCGCCATTGGGATGCATCGAACTCCGACAGTAATCAAAGAGGGGCAACGCACGCCGACCCACTTTTTTTCTGCACGTACGGTAAGTCAGTACCCCCCTCTGGGGGGGCCCTCGACACACACGGCTTAGCTGGCTGACGGCGTGTTTTTCGGTTTGTTAAGCGTGTGTGTCATGTGAAGTCAAAGACACAGCTGTTTCGAAACGACTTGGTGCTGTTGTGTTGTCGTCGATCTGATGCATCAAAGTCCGTCCCCCCTCCTCCGGTGTTTGCCATCGGGGTCGGGTTTTCGTCGCTTGGCAACGACGTCGCAAAACAAGCCGCCCCCCCCCGGTGTTTGCCATCGGGGTTGGGTTTTCGTCGCTTGGCAACGACGTTGTAAAACAACCCCCCCCCTCGGTGTTCGCCATCGGGATTGGGTTTTCGTCGCTTGGAAACGGCGTTGTAAAACAAGCCCCCCCCTCGGTGTTTGTCATCGGAATTGGGTTTTCGTCGCTTGGAAACGACGTTGTAAAACAAGCCAATTCACTTCGTGAACTCGGCAACCAGGTTCCCTTTTTTTTTTTCCTCTGCTTGTTTTTGNGTTACAGTGCTTACAACTGTCTCAGGAAGTGAAAGCACCAGAAAATAAATTCAGGCATCAACGCAGCTGTCATCCGTACGCAAGGAAGTAAGCACAAGATGCCGAACACCATTAGCAGGATGCAGCGCACCCTTCATGCGACTCGCCGAATATATCACGGCGCTTCGCGCTTGGTGATGTGAGAGCCTGGTCCGGTGAGAACCCGGCGTGCTCCGTCCCGGCTTTGTAGGGATGAGAGGTCAATGGTCTAACGACACGGCATGCATGACTATAAGTACACCCGCCCCCCATTCAATGTAAAGGAACGATTTTCATAACCTAGGAGAGAAAAAATCAAGCCTGTTGCCCTTAACTCACAACGAGGACAAAGCCGGGGGCCTCCGTCACAGCTGCTCTCACGTCCTCGTCGCTAACGGCGACCCTCTCGCGCGCGCTGTCTGCCCAGCGACCAGTCGTCTTTGAGCCGCCGCCATTCCCACCACCACCACCATCACTGCCACCACCAACAGCACCTTCTCCACCACCTTCACCACCACCGTCGTCACTAACATTACCATCACCACCACCGCTAGCAGCAGCAGCAGCATCAGCATCAGCATCAGCAGCAGCAGCAGCGATGAAACGAGAGTCGTCGGCGGCTAGGAGGGCGGAAGGAGAGAGAGAAGAAGAAAAGCTGCTATTCTTCAGCAGGGCCCCGCGAAGGAACGCCACGCCCCCAATCCTGCCTTCGTCACCTTCTTCGCCTTCGTCGCCTTCTTCGCCTTCTTCGCCTTCTTCGCCACCTCCGCCACCGCTTCCGCCGCTTCCGCCGCCTCCGCCGCCTTCGCCACCTTTCCCGCCGCCGTCGCCATCTCCGCCCCGATCGCCACATCGCTCACCCGGCCGTGGCGGCTGCAACCAGCGGTGGTCGCGGGCCTCCGGCACCGTCAGTCGCTTCCCTGGGTCCTTGGTGAGAAGCCGGTTGAGGAGGTCTTTGAGGGGCGTGTCGGCCTGTTTCGTGGCGGTGCGGGGCGGGGGGTGGGGGGCAAGAAACGAACTCAAGTTCTCTGGCGGCGCACACGCTCTCCCTCCCTTTGTTCCCTTACGGCTGATTCACTCTTCCTTTCTCTATGCCTACCGTTTTTTGTCTGTCTGTCTGTCTGTCTATCTATCTTCCTCTTTCACTGCTTCCCTCCTTTCTCTCTCTCTGTCTCTCTGTCTCTGTCTCTGTCTCTGTCTCTGTCTCTGTCTCTGTCTCTGCCTCTGTCTCTGTCTCTCTCTCTCTGTCTCTCTCTGTCTCTCTGTCTCTCTCTCTCTCTCTCTCTCT